AAAGAGGGGTTTATTGTTTGCAAAATAAGATTTGGAGGTCAAGGTCTCATGAGAATTGTTAGGGGAATGCAGAAAACAATTTTAGATGATCAGATCCTATTGAGCTGGAAGAACAAATCGCTCACCCGTGGAATTGGCGTTGCTGCCCCTAAGGCCAGAACACGCGGCAAATTGAAATCTGCATCTTTGTTTCTCTAACTTTTTGTTTTTGTCGGGCGGGTCAAAATAACTAAAACAAGCGAATTAGAGCTTGCACCTTGGAGTTTGAAGAAGGGAAATTATGACTCGGATTTTAGTTCAGCGAGGCTCTGCTGGTTCAGCATCATCATCACAGCCATCATCATCGTCACAACCATCATCATCATTGTTGTCATCATCTTCTTCTTCCTCTTCTTCTGGCACTGCACAAGTTGTTCCAGCTGTAAAAGATGAGAATTTGGTAGCACAAGTTCAAGAACAAACTATGGTGGGTGAGTTTATAGAGAAATGTGATGTATCTGTGAACAGAGGCGAGGATTTTTTTTCGGGAACTTCAAATGTTGATCAGAGTGGAAGTAAAATATCCGAGAATGAGAAGAAGGCATGTGATGATGATGTCACAAGTCCCAGAAATTCCAGAAAAAGGTGTGGGGGATTGGCAACTGTGAAAGAAGAAAATAATGTCGTGGGCTCTGGAAGTTCTTTCTATACGGTCACTGGCAGTACATATCCACCACCTCCGCCTGTGCCCCCTCCTAAACCAGTGAGTACAAATTCTAGAAGATATGCACCTTCCGAGTCGAGCGCTGTGAGAATAGAGTCTTCCAGGAGAACTTCGGGCTGGCCTGGTGTGTCCAGCCAGTCATCACCGACTGGATCTCGTGCATCTTCACCTAGGTCCCATTGTGAAGGTGAAGGATATAACAGTGCTGATGAGCAGGGTCCATGCTTTAGTTCATCCTTTGGTGATTCAGTGAGTTTCTATTCATATTTAGTTGCTGGTTTGAATGATTTTGGTTTTTTACTTTTTATTTTTTTTTTTATTTTTTGTATTAGCCAGCGTATCTATCAAATTTTCTTTTTGTTTGTATTAGCCAGCGTATCTATCAAAATTTTCAGTATCGATTTACTTCTTTGTGTACTAAAAATCTTCTATTAAAGATTCATGAAGCAGCTCTTCATGTTTATGCTTACATTTATTTAATATTTTGGGCATGATTATATCAATCCTCTTACTTTGCTGATCTGTCAGTTGCCCATGTGCGGAAGTTAAGTTCTTTTCAATTTGGTTAGAGTACAAGGTGCTGCTACACGCTTGAGATTATCATTGTTATCTTTTGCAGGAAAGGGAGCATCAGTTTGTGATTGATTTGAGGCGACTTAAAGGCTTGGAAGTGAGAAACATGCTCGAGGATGGGAACTGCCTTTTTCGTGCTGTTGCAGATCAAGTATATGGGGACTCTGAACTATATGATTTGGCTAGGCAGATGTGTATAGACTATATGGTATGGGGGTTTCTGCTTTCTTTTATTTATTAGGAGTTGGGATTACTATAATCACTATATCTGGCTGCAGATGGTGGAATCAAGGTTTGTTTTGTTCTTCGAACTTTAATTGGTTATTACCAACATGATCAGTTCTTCATACAGAGGGTAAACATTATTGCAACACATATTTGGAAATGACGTGTTTTGCTGTTTATGCAGGAGAGAGAAAGAGATCACTTTTCACAGTTCATAACGGAAGGATTTACTTCCTATTGTAAGAGGAAGAGAAGGGATAAGGTACATGGTTTTCTGATATTTTCAATGTGTAAAATTTTAAGTAGAATTTCAATGTTTATCTTTTGTATGTTGAGAACTTGTAAAATAGTCAATATTAATTATGCAAGATTTTTCTGGTGTTTTTCAAAAATTAATTTTGTTCTCCCAAGAAGTGGTGTAATTAAAATGTAGGCATTTCAGTTCTTGTGCTGATACTAATAAAGCATAATTTAGGTTACCTAGTTTATGCAGAATTTCACTGTCCTAATTTTTCACAATTTGTTCTCTTTTCTGGTTTCCAGGTTTATGGAAATAATATGGAAATCCAGGCTCTATCAGAGATGTACAATCGGCCCATTCATATATATTCTTACAGTACAGGTGTTTTAACTATAATACAATCATGCTTTGGGCATCTGCTTTACCTCTGGTTATTCTGCTTGTTTACATTGACATTTTTGTTCCCAGAACCTATCAACATATTCCATGGAAGTTATAATACTGACACGCCCCCAATACGACTCAGCTACCACCACGGAAATCACTACAATTCCCTTGTGGATCCACGTAGGATGACCGTTGGAGCTGGACTTGGTTTTAGCTCTCTTCAGGGGGTATGTTTGAGTAATGATCATATTGCATTTTGTATCAGATGTTTGGAAGTACTGTTAAGGTGTAGACTCTCATCACCAAAAATACTAGCGAACGGGAAAGACATTGAGTTCATGTTCAGCTAAGTGAGTGGTTAGAGCCGTTTAATAATAATAATAGTAATGATAATGATAATTATAGTACTGATAAATAAAATCTAGTTATTGTTTATAAATTATAAATTAGGACTTCTGTCAAGGTGAGCTTTCAGTTTTGTTTGGTAATTGGATTTTCCTTAATTGTTATTATTTTTATTCCTTTTTCTGGATTAGGCTAAAGCATATGTGAAATTTATAGCATCATTAACACTTCAGCAATGGAATCATGCCTACTGGGTTCCTTTGGTAATTAGGCTAAAGTAAGGGCAATGTATGCAATTTTTACCTTGCGTGCCGATGTGTATATTTGTCCCTCAATTATTGTGTTTTTGACAGAGGAACGTTGATAAAGATCAGGTCAAAGCAGTTATTAAAGCTCAACAAGATCAGCAGATTGACAATGTAATTATTTGGCAGCCTTAAGTAAAGAATGACATGTTATTATCTGTGATAATAACATGATATAAAAAATTTGTTCATTTTGTTAGGCGCTTATAGCTGAGGGACGATTTCACTCTGATCTTGAGCTGACTGAGAAGGAAATCGAGCGCATGGTAATGGAAGCTTCTAGAGCCGAGTACCTGGCGGACGACAAATTCAAGCAACATATAGGTCACAGGGAGTCGTCGACTTCTCGAGCGGAACCGTCATCATCTGCAGGCAGTGAGTTTCTCATGTTCAATTGCATTTTCTGTTTTCCATCTGATAAAATGCATATTGTTTCTGCATATCATTTATGGATATCTGCAAAATCAGATCCATAATTTTAGATTGACTAGTTACAAAAAATATTCATAAATTAGATATATACAGAAATTACAAAGACGACCCTCGAGAGTGAGTGTTTTTTTTTAAATTCGGCGCCTGAATCTAATTAAAATTGCTGAGGTGGTCATATACTTTAACTTCTCTAATTATAACTAGTATAGCACACGTGTAATCGCAGGTCTTAGTTAAAAAACTTATACTGAAATTCTTAGAAAGAATGTGAGAGAAGTTTTTTTATTTAAATTTCAAATACTTTTTTTTTAAATAGTACATTATTATTTATAATTGAAATTTAATTTTCACTTGTACAATCTTTCGGTCTTATATTGTAATAATTTTTCTAATTCAGATATAATAAATTTATAGATGCCTTTTTGAATTGATATATAATTTTATTAGTTTTAATTCGCATTAATTTGATATATTATATACTAAATTTAATAACAAATGCAAAAGTTATTAACTTTTAAATATATTTATGATTTAAGTTAATCAAGTGTTTTATAATTTTAAAACTCGTAATAAGTATGGATATAATACAAACTTACATGGGCTACTCCACATAAACAGAGGTTTTTATTTTTCGTTTTAAATGATTCTTACTTTGTCCATTGCAAATGGAGCTGGAAGAGTCATTATTGACAATTCTCCTGGCATAGTGCTAATAATGGACTAGATCAAAATGACTCAATTAAATTCTAAAGCTTCTTCTAGTAGTGAAGTAGTGAAGTTTCTAGAAAAAAAAATATATCAAACGACGCAATGCACCTTGGGTCGCTACGGAAACAGCCTCCTTGTATACGAGGGTAAGGTCTGCGTACAACTGACTCCCCAGACTCCAACCAGTTGGGAATATACTGGGTATGTTGTTGTTGTTGTTGTTGTTGTTGTTTAAATGATTCTTATAAACTTAGATTATTATTTATATTTAAAATGATACTTATCGCATACGTTTTCTAAGTCACATTATATAATGACTTAACCTTTTTATGTCATATTATATAATGAATTTAATAGACAACTTTATTTACTTGATAAATAATTTTATTATTTTCAATTAATATTGATATATATTTAAATTTTTATTATAAATATATATATATATATAATTTAATTTAATTTTTAGAAAATAAATATATATTTACTTTATTATGCAATATGGAAGTCAAATCGAAACTCGTTGCGAGACGATTAATTTGATATATTAATTATGAAAATATAATAACAAATGCGAAATTTACGAACTTTAAATTATATTTGTTATATTTTTTGTAATTTAAATTGGTCAAATGCTTTATAATTTTAAAAATCCTAATAGGTTGTACTAAGCCCAAGACATAAGATCATCAAGTACCAAACTTGGACACGTAAAATTACGAAGCATTAGAAATCGACACGTGGGATCGAGACATTATACGTTTATATACAAAGCAGTCCGTACGCTCAGTTCTTTAGATATCTGAATTAGCTGCATATATGATATATCATGGGGCTATGCCCAGTGTTTTGTGAAGTTTAGAGTTGTAATAGTAAAGTCGGTTAATTTCACCAGGTCAACGAGCAGGCACTGCAATATGTAAGAGAAAACCACGAGTGTGGTTTTTTTTAATTATATTTTTCCTTTTCTTTCTAATAATTGAGCAACACTGTAATTTTCATTTCTATTTTTTGGTTTGCAATGGTCCACCAAAATTGGAGACCAGCAATTGCTTTGTTAATGTTTTCCAGACCCCACTGCCAAGGGGATAATTTGCGAGTCGATTACAAAAGTAGAGGCGCATTAATCTGACAAGATAACTGGATTTTTTTTGGTCATCTTTTTCTAAGTTAAACCTCGGTCTAGTTTTGTAACTAAAACTATCCTGCTTCAAAGGCAAGGAATATCCATAACGTCATTAATATTTTTACTAAATTATCAGGATCGTCGGGAAGTGTTGCCAGGCTGGAAGGCAGGCGTGAGTCGAGCCCGCCAGGTTCAGTCTTGAACAGCAGCATGGAGATAATGCTGTCCATGGGATTTAGCTATATGCAGGTGATTGAGGCTTATAGCATTTTTGGGGACAACGTCGATTCCATGGTGTGTTACCTATTAGAAACGAGTGGTAATGGCAGGCGTAAAGGCAAGGTCACCGAATAAATGAAAAAAAAAAAAAAAAATCCTAAGAGCTTTGTCGCCTGTCGGGTTTCGTTTTCTTTGTCGAGAGCTGTGTAGAACTTTTTTCTGAGATGCTGCTGCTGCTATCTGTAGTTGATTCTAAGAACACCAATAAGATGAGCACTTTTCTGTTCACATAATGATAGGTGTATTTTAAAAAAATGTGTAAAACTCAGTTTATATTTATGTTTCACTTGCACCCTTTTTTTTTATTTGACAGCTGAAGGTGTTATTATTTTATTTTTTTTATATTAAATCTCGCAATATGCTTAACATAATTTATCGTGTATTGACGATATATTGAATTTCTCGTCATGGCACTTGAACTCTTCACGTGGAATGTGAAAGCCTACTACACAAACACTTCACCCCTTGGAAAGTCTTAAAGAAGTCATGAACAATACCACAAAGTGACTTTTTGAGATTTATAATAAGAAAAATGGTACATGTATATAATAATTATACATAGAGGTGTACATAACTCTCACATGATGTGGGTCCACTTGATTTTTTATTTTTGGTGGGTCTCACACAATGTGAGTATAAAGTACACTATTATGTACTTGTAACATTACTCAAATAAATACATCACTTAAGGATATGTTTGGTTCAACGAAAAGAAAAGAAAGGGAGAGATTTTAACGAAGGGAGATATTTTAACGGAGGGGAAATGGGGGGAAATGGAGTCAAATAATACTATTTTGTTTGGAAGGAATTTGTTAGAGGAGAGTTGAGGAGAAATGGTGATAAACCTTGTTTGGTAAGATATGAAAAAGGAGGAAAAACAATGTTAGAATAACAAATATAGCCTTAATGATTTCAGAAATAAATATTACATATAATAAGAATAAAATTATAGTGAAATGCTATAGTCCCGTTACGAAACTATTCTGTCGGGATTTATACCCATTAGATCATCATGTAACCGTCGTAGATAGTTGATCTAACGGTTACAAATCCCGCCGAAATTGTTCGTAACGGGACCGTAGCATCTCTCTATAATTATAATTGAATGTATTAAAAGTTTCTTCTCCTCCAAATTCTCCCATTTTTTGAGAGGAGCAAAATTTTCATTCTTTTTATTTTTCTTTTAAATTCATTATTCAATTCAGCAATTGACGAAGTGACTCGACAGTCGACCGATGACGAAGATTATGGGTGTTCAC